CGCACCCTAGATGGGTTTTGGGGGCAGCGGCACCCCTTGGGGTGGGAACCCTAGGGGAGGCGCAGCCCCCTCCCTCTCCCCTATATATAATTGTGGTATTTGGGGCTGCATACACATGAGTTTTGACCTCTCCCTGGCGCAGCCCTACCTCTCTCCCTCCCCCTCTCTCGCGGTGCTTGGCGAAGCCCTGCAGGATTGCCACGCTCCTCCATCACCACCACGCCGTCGTGCTGCTGCTGGACGGAGTCTTCCCCAACCTCTCCCTCTCTCCTTGCTGGATCAAGGCATGGGAGACGTCACCGGGCTGCATGTGTGTTGAACGCGGAGGTGCCGTCCGTTCGACACTAGAATCTCCGGTGATTTGGATCACGATGAGTACGACTCCTTCAACCCCGTTCTCTTGAACGCTTCCGCTTAGCGATCTACAAGGGTATGTAGATGCACTCTCCTCTCTCTCGTTGCTAGTCTCTCCATAGATAGATCTTGGTGACTCGTAGGAAAATTTTGAATTTCTGCTACGTTCCCTAACACTATGAACCACATATGAAGCAAAATGAGTGAATCTACCTTAAAATGCATCTATATACATCTGTATGTGGTCGATAGTGAAATCTCTACAAAGACTTATATTTAGGAATGGAGGGAGTACATGGCGATGGATAATGCGTGCGTTGCATGGACGGCATGAATCATAACATAGTGCAAATTACATGGGCATGCTTCCTGACTCATATTCTCTAACTTTTGTAGCATGTAGTATCGTATTTCTAAGAACTTGCCCAACATGTATTTTCCTACTCTCCCATGTCACCAGGGTCACAATTGAAACTAAAGGTAGTTATGATGTCTTTTTTGCAAGGCAAATAGATCAAAATATTGTTTTTTATGAATACATGAACTTCTCAAATTAAAGCACCGCATGTTGATATCATGGCATGTCATCCTCGGGGTCGCCGGTTGAGACTATAATAGGTGCATACAACTTTGCAGGTACAACCCAAACACATAGATATTCTATAAAATGTGGTTCTAATAGGAGACCATACTACTCTGGCCCTAATAATAGGCATTTAGATAACAAAATCATAGCAATGTTATTTCAGTAGCAAATAACCATACCATGGATCAGAACCCTAAAGATTTTATTACTGTTACATGATTGACACCATCCAATTCACATCCATCATATGTGCCTACATTCAATTACTCACACATGGATAGTAAAACATGATAGAGATGGAGGGGTGGAGAATGAGTTTATAGAGTCGATGGCAAAGAATCCCACTCTCCGGAGGTGGAATCAGCCTCCAGACATCCCTCCAGCAAAGAATGTATCTTGGCTAGATACTAAAGTAGTGGATGAAGGTGTGACATTACTTCTAATGTCTTTGCTACCGTGGTCCGATGCAAACTTGATCACTACTTTGACATATGGCAAGAGTACCGTCACTGCAAGCAAGATTAGACAACACTGTTATCATACGATCAACTTGAGAAGAAAAGTACCGCCGAAGGTATTGGAAGCAGTGAAGGTGTTGGGCCTTGTGACCAGGTATAATCAAGGTAGTAGAAAGGAGAAGGATATACAAAAGAAGAAGAAGGGGTTGTAGTGCTACCATTGTAAGGAATATGGTTGCATAAGGAGGTAGTGCCCAACGTTGAAGAAGACTGATGGAACTGCTAATGGGGTAGCATGTTCACATAGTGATTCAGATGATGACATGCTGACCAGATGAAGGGAGCAGTCCAATGAAGTGTGAATGTTAGACACAACGATCTCCTATCATGTGACGCCTAAATAAGAGTGGTTCAGTACCTAAAAGTCCGATGATATTGGAGGCAATGATGTGCCTCAGTACATTGTGGGCATTGGAGATGTCAAGATCAAGACTAATGATGGTGTTGATGAACATGTGAAGGGATGTTAGACACGTGCCAAACGTATAGAGAGCTCTCAATTCGCTTGGCAAACCTTATGATGATGGTTATGTCTACAAGGTAGAAAGGGACAAGAAGACCATGATATGATCAAGAAGGACAACAAGCATGCGACGAAGGAAAGAGGACCAATAAAAATACGATGAGTTGTGAGACGGATAGCTCCCCCTCCCCTCTCCCGAGCCATTTCCATGCACGGCTTAGGAGGGCAAACCCTAGCGCCGCCAGCCTTCTTCCGTAAGCCCCTCCCCACGTCGCCGCCTGGGTGCGCCGCCGGACTAAGGCCGCTAGCGTCGTCGTCGGCAGGGTTTCTTCTCCCCTCTCTCGGTGGCGGGGTGAGGCGGGTGCTCGGTGACGAGCGGCGGCGGCGAGCTGGCGTAGGGCGCGGCAACGCTGAGGCGTGTGCTGGTGGCGGAAGCACTGGTGCAGTGGGCTAGACACGAGACAAAAAGAGACGGTAGGTGCTTGTGGAAAGGTGACCACGACCGATCGTGGCGCGACAATCGAGATGAATCTGATGGCCTCGGTGTGCGTGTCCTTGATCTCCAGATTCAGTACATGGTGAGGTGTGCTCATAGTCATGCCCTCAGGATTAGCCACAATGATGAGCCTCATTAACAAAAAGTGGTCTCTTCCGTGTACTTTCTGCGACGAATCTTCCGCGTATTTTCTAACATCCCCATCCCTAGGGGTTTGTCATAGTCTTTCGGTTAGGCATGAATGACACACAGCATTCGCCGTCTGTAGCGTTAGTGCTGAATTTTATACTAGTAGAAGTCATGCATGCACGTGTTTGAAATGTGCATATCGCTTGTCTTCTAAGAAAGGTTCTGTCAAGTTCCTGCAGAAACCGCTGGCCGGGGCCTATGCTGCACTGTCCCATGACTGCGGTATCGACAACCTTACATGCCAGCTCCAGCGTGTACGCACCGCAGGCATGGCGCTGGCTAACTCGGACAGTTTAACCAAAACGATAATTGAACAGGTCTTTGTTTGTTAGAAAAAAAAAAGAGAATAGGGCTAACTTTTAATTAATGGCTAGTCGTATTCTCCTCCAAAACCTTCCACGGGGAGTCTGAACATAAGTCGGATCCACTACTGTTAGTTGGACCAGAGTTCATGTGTCTTACAACATCTACAGCCGGAGGTAGCTAATCAAATCCCCAACACGTGGACAGTGATCAATCACCTTTCAAATGCATGCGTTCACATCCATGTACCTTAAAGCCGGTCCTCCAAATCCATGCAACATAAGCGAAACTATGTAAAGGATGATACCAAACAGAGCATCAAACGGACATAGAACAACGAAGTCGCATACTGGCATAGATGAACATCACAGTTCATCGGACCAAAATATAGAATTCATCGTCGGACGGTCACAAATCTACTAAAATCAACTTAATAACTTAACTAAACGGAGAAGAGCAGAGAAAATCACCTTTTCATCGTTGGATGGTCGTTGGTGCAGTTGTACCACTCCGTGTAGGCGTAGGCGTCCGGAGGGGTGTCGTCGACAGGGCTGGAGCCGTGGGAGCCATCGGAGAGGTCGGAGTCCTCGTCGAAGAGATGCCGCCAGCCATCCCCCGAACCGCGCGTTCATGCACCTTCTCTAGCTGAGCGGCACTGGCTCTGGCGGCGCCCTCTCCCGCTCTGACTGCTCGATGGCGAGCCAGAGCGCCATGGTGTTCCTGGGGTGGAGATGCCACACATTGGTCTCTATCGTAGTGAGCTACCGACCGAGGAGCAAGTCCTCTGGATCTACCGACGCGCTTCATGCCGGACCGGCGCGAGGACATTTCATCCGTTGTCACTGCCCTCTCCCTCGCCCACTACCTTTGGCTGCGGCCCGCGCCTCTGATTCAGATGCCCGACACCGTCCGGAGTTGGTAGAGAAGGCGGAGAGTTGCGCTGAGCGGCGGATCGGGCGACAGGGGGGCAACACAGGGCCAGAGCTTTCGATGCCGCCTGGTCCTAGCCGTGACCAGTGCAACGCGATGCGGAGGGCAAGCTCCTCTACATCGTCCGGTTCCGCGTCGTGTAACAAGGACTCCTACTTCATGGGGTTGTCGACGGAGGATCCCCAGCCAGACACTACGCTATTGCCGTTGCTCGCCATGGATCAAAAGTGGAGTGGTCAGGGAGAGGAGGAGACGGAGAGAAGTGGAGTGGAGTGAGTTGGTTTGAGTGAGGTCTAGATTTCGTCTGGGTGAGGATTTATATGGTGTCTGGATGGGCCGGTCCGACATGACAGACGCGTCCGGTCTCCCCATACGTGCCTTAGATTTGGGCTAGGTTTGACGTGCGCCGATCAGCCCGACGTTCGTGGCCGGTTTGGAAAGGCTCGCTGCTTCACGGTTTTGTGGCTGGGCACCGATCGGGCCATCCGCCTGGTCAATTAAGGGAGTACGGCTGCAAATGCTCTCACTCATCTCATTTTTCTCACGAGCCGTCTGTCCCACTGTGTTATAGGCCATTGTCCAAATTTCATGACTATGGTTGAACAATTGGCACCCCATTCGATGTCTCTGGACACGTTCAAACGTGTACACGGACATTTGGTAACCCATGTTAGGCGATTCGCATTGGAGTTGCCCTAAGAAATGTGACATCTTTTGGATATGCTTGCCGTGTCCGATTAGAACTTTTGCTCACATGATTTTCAAGTCTGATTGGACGTCCGTACCGTAGCTCTCGGCCTCTAGCTAGCTTGCTCGACCCATACATGATACATGTACAGTCCACAGTACGTACGCGCCCCACGAGGCCACGAGCAAACGCACACCCACGCAATCTAGAGCCACCTCCCCAACTAACTCCAAAGTCTCCATTTAATCACCCTCTCCATGATCAATCACATTGCGACACCGCCGTGCGTGCGTACGTATCCTCTATATATACCCGAGCCCAGCCACAGCCACAGCACCACGTCGTCTCACGCAAACCGCACGATCGATCTCTCGAGTCTGTCATCCATCGTCGGCGTCGCACGCACGCAAGAGAAACCCACAAAATTCACCAGCCAACTGTGGCAGTGCGGTCAAGCTAGGTAGCAGGTAGCCATGGCGGCTCGGCGTAGTGGTGCGGTGGTGGCGGCGTTGATGGCCGTGCTGGTCGGGCTCGCGGGCGCGGACTTCGCGGCGGACCGGGCGGAGTGCGCGGACAAGCTGATGGGGCTGGCGACGTGCCTCACGTACGTGCAGCTGGCGGCGACGGCGCGGTCGCCCACGCCGGACTGCTGCTCCGGGTTCCGGCAGGTGCTGGGCGCCAGCAAGAAGTGCCTGTGCGTGCTGGTCAAGGACCGCGACGAGCCCACCCTCGGGATCAAGTTCAACGTCACCCGCGCCATGAACCTCCCCTCCGCCTGCAACATCCCGGCCACCTTCTCCGACTGCCCAAGTACGTAGAGTATTCATATCCGGCCTGCCGGTGCTGCTGCGCCTCCGTACGTTCATTCTAATAAGCCAGTTGCTTTTGGGTGCGGTGCAGAGATCCTCAACATGTCGCCGGACTCCAAGGAGGCCGAGATCTTCAAGCAGTACGGGATCGAGCACGAGGGCAAGAACGCCACCGCCGCCGGCGCCTCCACCACCGGTAAATTATACATACTCCTCTGGCCACTTAACTAGCATATCCTTGTCAAATAAATCACCATATCCTCCCCCCTCGTCTTCATCTCGCCACCGCTGTCGTCGTCATCTACCCACGCCTCCGACGCTGGCCTAATACTCATCTGCCACGGCGGCACCGCCGCCACCCCTCCCTGTCCGCCGTGTCGCCTCCTTGGCCGAGCTGCAGCTTAGACCACCCTGCACTCGTACCCAAACCTGTCAACCTCTGCCTCGCCTCCGCCAACGACACGCGCCGCTGTCTCTGACTCGGGACTGTGCTTCCTCAACGCTCTTGGAGTATTAGTTTAAGGAGGGAGTACTAAAATCGACCGAAGCGAACTTTTTCAGTCGCCTAAGAAATAGCAAACGCGTGTCAATCATACACGCGCATGCGTAGCATGAGGCCGGAAGAACGTACACCGCACGGCACACTCTACACACTGCACACAGCATATGGCATGGGCAGGAGCAGGCGAGGAGCTTCCCGCTGCTCGGTTGCACGATTGCGACGTGAACGAGCGTGTGACCGCGAGCGACCACGCGACTCTGCAGTTATGCCGAGAAAGATACTGGCAACAGCGCGCATTCATTTCTAGCCGGAGGTTAGTGGTGGCGGGATCAGTCAATGCCCTGCATGGTATGCATGGCCCGCCTAACAGCGGACGCGTCCTGACAGTCGTGTACCCAGCCGGCCGGTGTTCGGTGCCTGATCTTAACTGAACTTGGCGGGTAACCACTAACCATAACTGTACCTAAATCTCTGTTTGAAAAGAAATGGACACTGTACCTAAATCTGTGGTGCTTTTGCAGTACTAAAACCAGCATCCTGTTCAGCACTGTAGAAAACAATCACTCGTGAATAACTTAACGTTGTCGTACGCCTTGGCCGTGGCTGGTTGCAGGTACCTCCGGCGGGAAGAGCGCCGACGCGGCGGCCGGCGCAGGGAGGCACGCGGTGGCCTTCGCCGTCGTCGTCTCGGCGCTGCTCGCCTCCCTCTTTGTTCTCGCGTGATGTTAGGCTGCAGCGGCAGCAGGGAGGGACCGGAGATCAGAAGTCGGGACACCCGGCGGTGTCCGTATGACTGGGCTGTGCAATTTTCAGCATGGGCCTTAAGTTTGGTCAAGCAGAGGGCCCATTGATTGCTGTGTAGTGAGTGAGTGAGTGAGTGAATTCTAAGAGAAGGAAAAGTGTATTGTAGTGAGTGAGTTGCCTGCCTCTCCGGTTCCTGTTTAATCCCTTTCTTGTCCTCTTTTATTTTTCCGGATAGTGAGTTGACTGTCGGATCAGTTGATGTTGGAAGCTTACAATTGTCCTACCGAAATTTCTCTTCCTTTTCCTTCCATTTTCTGGAGCAAGAGAGTGTGTAATTAATATGGGTACTTCATATATTTTTAGACGATTGTGTATTTTACAGTGGTGTGCTGTTACATGCTCGAATCTGGAAGAATGTCAACTCTTTTATTCCTCATTACAAGAAATACCCGTTAATGACTAAAATTTAATGACCGCAGTCAAATTGGTCGTAGATCTATGACCGAAAATGATCATTGAGTGTGTGTAGGGTCCAAACCATCGTTCCATCAAGACTAAATTGTGTCATCATAATAAGCTATAACACATTAATAAGATCGTAGATTCTTATGGTGGAGGTAACTAGACGACACCTAATCATATTTGCCTACCCGTCGTGTTTATATGACACTTTCCACTTTAGTTGTATGTAAGTTGCATGTTTTTTAAATTTGTGTAAGTCAATTTTGTGACCGTTGATTCATTTAGCAAGATTTGTATTGTCCTCTTTCCCCTTGTGTTCTTTAGTAAATTTTTGGGCTTAATTTTTCACTTGCCGCTGATCTTCTTATTGGGCTTGGAGCTTGCTACCCATTGCCTATTTTTTATGCATTTTTCTTCTATACTTTCTTTTCTTTTTAGTCATTTTTTCATTTTCTTTATTGGTATTTTTGGGATTTTCATGAGTGTAAATGTACACACGTTAGTACTATATAAAATATGTGTGTAAAATATACTAGAGCGTGATAATTGCACTGTTATACACTTATTCTATGCATATTACAAAGAGTGAAATTTGAGCGCGAAGTTGCGTTCAACTTTTATATATATCTTCTAAAAGGGTAAATAACAATCCCTCTAATTCATTATTTCTTAGATTTTTTAATATTAATTTAGTCTTTATTTATTTTCCTTCCTTCTTTAAGGCTAATACTAATGCCACTAATTCTTTTATTTTCTTACTAAACTTTTTAGGCGAAAAGTACACTATCATATGTTTACTCTTGCACACAATTTAAAATTCAATTTATGTGTAAATTATGTGCAAATTCTTTCTTTATTTTTAATATAGTTTAGATTTTATTTTGTATTTTTAAAGCATATACCAATGCCATTAATTCATTGTTTCTTTGGGAAAAAACTATTTTTTATATTTGTGTCTCGAAGTATACATGCAAGTACTTGAAAAATATGTGTAAGTTATACTAGTGTGAAAATTGCACTATTATATGATTATACTTTGCTTATTGGAAAAAGTGCAATTTCACTTCAAAGTTGTGTGCAAGTTTTTTTGTCCATTTTCTTTTTGCTTAAAGGATAATGCCAATGCCCGTAATTCATTCTTCTTTGGAAAACTTTATTATTTTGATTTTATTTATTTTCTCTCATTTTAAAGGTAGTACCAACATCACTAATGCATTCCTTCTTAGAGATTTCGTTTTTTGCGAAAATTCCAATATTATATGCCTATTCTTTAATATTATACAAAAACACAACTTCTGTGTAAACTGTGTGGAAATTTGTCATTTTTTTTATTTCTTCTTGATGAGAAATACCAATTGTAGTAATTAATTCTTCTTTACAAAGCTTAATTTTTTTATCTTGAGTCTTACGAGGTCAGTTTTTGATATGCTCTAGACCAAGCAATGTGGGCATTTGGTGGGCTTTTGTTTTGTGGTTGCAAACGGCTGAGTGGATGTATAAAAGTATCTAATAAGATGTTGGTGCAAGTAGATTTTAATTCTGCTCCACATTCGTTTGTCACAAATTCAACTTACATGGAATCAGAATTCAGGCGACTTGCATATAGTCGATACCATATTTTTGTCCTCATTCTTTTTGGGACATTTACATTTGTGCCCCTAACTCGAGCCCACTTCTCAATTTACCCCTAACTTTTTGATCTGCTCAAATTTCCCCTAAAAAGCCTTTTAGGTCACAAAAATGCCCTTCCATCTGGTCAAAGTTGGTTGACCAAAACTTTGAAAATTCATAACAAATTCATATAAACTGAGAATTATCCAAAATAAGATATTAAAATGTTCATAAAAAACATCGCCTATATGCACATGTCATTTACGTTCATGACAAAAGCACTCTTTAAAGCTTTTTAAGGTATATAACATTAAAAAACTATTTAGGTGAATTCAAATAAATGCACGTGTAGGTGATGAACGTAAATGACATGCGCGTATAGGTGATATTTTATGAACATTTTGATATCTTATTTGCATTCGTTCGAGTTCATATGAATTTGTTATAGATTTTCAAACTTTTGATCAAACAACTTTGACCAGGTGGAAGGGCATTCTCGTGACCTAAGATGCTTTTTAGGGGAAAATTTGAGAGATAGGCGTTTTGGAGGCCGAGCTCCATGGAGGCCTTTATTTTTGAAAAATTCAAATTCAAACTTTATGGTTCAGAAAATTATGAAAAAATATATGCATGTATGTAAGGATGTAACCCACATGTGTGTAAAAATTCATGATGAAATACCTTGAGTTGCGACCTGTACAAAAAAGACAAATTCATGGCCTGGGAGGATGAATAGTATCATGTGTTAAACAACCCCATATTTGTCTTTTTTGCACAGCCCTCATTTTAGTGTATTTTGAACTGAAAAAGTACACACATGTGTGTTATGCCTTCATGTATATCTGTAATTTTTTTTTCATTTTTTGAAATGTAAAAAATATGAATTTTGATGAAATTTCAAATTTGAATTGAAGGCCTCACTTGAGGCTGAGCTCCAAAAGGGATTTCCGAAAATTTGAGCACATCAAAAAGTTAGGAGTAAATATGGGAGTGTGAGCAAATTAGGGGCATAAATGTAAATGCCCCTTCTTTTTTCTATGACCAACAATATTTTTAGAGTTATTTCCTCCATCTTTTCTTTCAGAGAGTTTATAGAAATAAAATTTTCATCACTAGCAGTTGGTTTATCATAATTAGGATATTTCAAAAGTCCAGCTAGTGGAGAAGGATTCATATATCTTTTTTTTTCTGTTTTAGTGAGTGAAAGATAAGGATAGAATATATAACTAGGCAAGAAATAAAACAAACAAATAAGAATTTTGTGTGCAGGCACCTGATTTGGTAGTTGTTGACTCTCCGGCAACGACGCCAAAAATTCTTGTGCTACTCACGTAGGAGTTGTTAGATTCCCCGAAGAGGAAAGGTGATGTAGCACAACATCAGAAAGTATTTCTCTCAGTTAAAAATCAAGGTTTATTGAATCAGTACACTAGTAGAAAAAGGGCCTAATGTTCAGCTCATTGGTCCCGGTTTGTTACCGAACCGGCACTAATATGATCATTAGTGACGGTTCTAACGGCTAGGCGGGCTGTGCTCATTAATCCCGGTTTGTGGCGAACCTCTAGTCCCGGTCCGTGCCACGAACCGGGACTAAAGAGGTGGTGGCAGGCTGGTGTCAGGCTGCGGCCCCACCAACACCTTTAGTCCCGGTTCGTGGCACGAAACGGTACTAGAGATGCACCTTTAGTCCCGATTTTTAAAACCAACCGGGACTAAAGATCATCCTATATAAACCCCTTCGTCGAGCCCGAGCTCTCTGTTCTTTCCCTTTCATTCCTTCCTCTCCTCTTTGTTCTTCCCCTCTTCCTCGAGCTCATCACATATTTTGCCCAAATTTTGTCAAGATTGGCCCCCATCCATTGAAGTGATCACAAAGGTTAGCAACTTTGTCCTTTCATCTCTCATTGCTAGATTAGCTCTTGCAATGCTCTATATAGTTATTAATTTGTGGGGTTTAGTAATTTGGGAGGAATTATATGTGGTAGTTTATTTGATTTATATGCAATTCGAGCTCAAAATAACTCTTAGTTTGCATATGTAGGTGTGGTTTACTTAGTGCCTTCCCGTCTCCGTCCTAACCACCGTCGATCGCCCGCACCGTCCCGTCGACGGCACCACCTTGTGGTGAGCCTCTTGTTCTTATATTTTCATATAAAAAAATGATGTTTGTGTGATTTAGATATATAGTTACTTGTATAATTATCTTACCCATACGTTGTTTGTTATACATAGTGCCATGCTTTTGATATCCGTCTCTGTCGGCCCTCGTCTGGTTTATGATTCAGATGTGGTATATTCTCTTTTATAACTATTTGTTGCATTTCCTGTTTATGAAAAATTATGCCCATCAAGTTGACATAGATATTTTTATCTAGGAGGTATGTGAACCAGGAATTCCAACCGACCCTATTGTCCAGAGGTTAAATTTAGTTCTAAATGAAAAAAAGTATTTGAAAGAAAAATTGAAAAGAATTGAGGAGGAGAAGATGGAATTGGAGTTGCGTCTTGCCGATGTCGTCGATGATCACAAGATCAAGATGGAGAAGATGCCCTTGAAGATTAGAAAGATTGGAAAATATGCCATTGATAGTGAGGCTTGGTATCATTATGCTGTCGGATCAATTGTTACCTTAGTTGCGACCTTGATCGCATTTGTCATTGCATTTAAATGCTTTAGCTAGAGAGTTTGTATGCTGTTTTATGAGAATACATGTGTATGGAACTTGTATTAATTTGGTCTTTTTGGTGTTGTGTAATGAAGATGAGCCGACAATGGATGTACGATGACCGATGCTCTCCCCAGTTCCTTAATGGCGTGCGTACTTTTCTGCTTGCGGCTAAGGCAAACAAGCAGGCGGATGGTTTTATGTCTTGTCCATGTGCTGGCTGTAAGAATGATCAAAATT